CTCAGGTAGAAAGAAAATGTTTTGAAAAGGATGATGGCAACATATGTACAAATGTGCTGGACACAATGGATGCATGGATTGATATAAGAGATGTAAGAGCCTCCAGTAACATTATTTATTAAAATTAAAAAAAGAAGTAATTTTATATTAAGCCAACATCCAAGCCCCCTTCAGCTCAAGTGCATCAGCCGGATGCTCGTCCTTAAGTCCCTCTGCAGACTCACGCAGCCACCTGCCGTGATGCAGAGTGCAGGAAGCTCACAGGCCGGTGGGTGCAAAGTCTCGTAGATCCAATGGCAGTGGATGCATCTCCCCGGCTCTGGCAGCAACCAGTGTCCAGCAGCAGGAGGGTAAAGGCAGAGAGGAAGAGGTGAGGTCCCCAGGACCCTTCTTATGAGAAGGCCATGCCCACAAGGAGTCACCATCAGGCTGTGACCTGGTTGCCAGGCTAGACTCCACCCCTACACTTCTATATATCTTCAGGTTGACATGATATTATGTGACTACCACATCAAAGAAGCTAATTAAATGTACAGTTGTCATTGTAGTGATTTGAAAAAATGGCCATTTCTTGCCCTATCAGCTTCGATCCATTACCTGATTGTACTCCGTGTGAGCACACATCTGTGTCTCTCTTGCAGTTGGTTCACGTGTGCACACCCTGAAAGTGTTCTCTGTGTTGGCTTTGCAGGATTGCTCTCATACTCATGGTCTTTGTTAATTACGGAGGAGGAAGATACTGGTACTTCAAGCATGCGAGTTGGAATGGTAAGGTATTTCCTAAAGGTGGCATCCCTCCCACGGGTGCAGCCAGAGCAGTGTAGGCAGAAGATCCACTCACAGCTCCTCTGAGTCACTGAGCCCCTGCCCTGTAGACCCACCAAGGGATGACTCTGTGAGCCTTCTCCTGCGCTCGCTTCTCTGTGTGCTCTGCCTCGGTGAGGCTTCACTGTGGTAGGCACAGGCCCAGAGGCCCTGCAGGGGGTGTCTACAGAAGATTTTAACGGATTTGGTTGAAAATGACCATTGCCCTATTGTAGATGAGATGTTCATTACAGATACAGCATTCTTAGGGCTTCTTTCGTCTAAGATTCATGACTCCCCTTAAGGTACCTTTGAACTGGTCTCGGTGGTGGTGCTAACACACGCCGTGAGGCTGGCTTTGTAGCTGATTTAGAAGTGGATTTTGAAAAAGGAAAAAAAGAAAAGAAAAAACCCTGATTTGTATAGCTCTTGCTGCTTGACTTAAAATCAGGATCCAGGGGGAAGAAAAATTAAAAAATCAGGGTCCAGAAGGCTTCAAAGAGTTGGTGGAAAACTTCCATTATGTTTTCATTCCATTTTCCCCTGAGCTTTTGGAAGGTCCTGGTGCTTGTCTGTGGTGCCAGGACTGTGTGTTGGCAACGCCCAGGCCTGAGGCGGGTTGCCGAGCCTTGAGGGAGTGGTATGTTTGCATGTGTGTGTTTCCCTCTGAACGCTGCGCATCGGCGCGCTGGCTCGAGGGCATGTAGCCGTGTCCGAGTTTTTTGCTCACGCTCTCTGCTCTCTTGTTTGGCAGGACTGACGGTGGCTGACCTGGTCTTCCCGTGGTGAGTGCACGCTGGTTTCTCCATTTGCCATCTTCTGTAGCTCTGATTTTTTTAACAAATGATGCCGGAATGTCTTTCAGAGACCAGCTCACGGACATGTGTCACGTAACAGGTCTGCGATGTTACAGGCTCCTCCCAAAAACTGTGTTCCGAGATCATTCTCTTTGCTTGGAGTAGGTCTTGCGTAAGGCATCTGAGCATAGATGTGGTCTTGCAACGGAAAGCGCCATGCGAATATAGACAGACTGTACTGGCATTTTGTAGGGAATCATAAATTCTAAAGATATAGTTAAATTCCACATGCCTTGAACGTAAGCATGAAGTCATAATTCCATAAAAAACCTAGCATATTGGTACCAGTGACTATTGGTAAGTACATAACAAAGACATGACAGTCATGAATTAAAATTTAAAATCTAGGTAGTCCCTGGGTTATGAATAAGATCCATTCATAACTGTCTTTTAAAAGTTTGCTGGTAATGGGGACCAGGTGCTTATGGCTCTTACTGAGCCTAGAGTGGGACTAAGAGCCCCAAGGCCTGTGACCAACCCAGCAGCCTCAGGAACCTGAAGGAAGCCCTTTCATCCGTTCCACAGGGCTGCTGTGAGTCAGGGTGAACCTGATGGCAGGGGATGTGGTTTTGGGGTTCCAAAGTCACTCGGACTCTGACTGGCCCGATGTTCTTCTTCAGGGACACTTCCTAGACGGTGTGAGAGTTCTGTCTTGGCTGTGATTCTTTGGGCCACATTGCCCCGCAAAGGCTGGCATTGCACCAGCATTAGAAATATTCCCATTCATTGTTTTATGTCTGTGGTTCCATTGTTAATATGAACTCAAGAGTTTTGGGGAGATGTTTTTTTTTTTATGTTTGAAGGATCGATAGGGGCAAGGTACACAGTCCTGGAAACCTAGTAATTGTTGGTATGTGTTCTCTGTGGGGTTTCTGACAGGGAGTGGCTGATAGGTTGATTCCCAAACAAGGAAGCCAAGGGACACAAAGACTCTTCATCCCTGTCAGCCTTAGCCAAATAATGCCAACAATTGTAAGGTGCCATCAAGGCGATGTGATAAGGGAGCCCTGGTGGCTTATGTGTTGAGTTATGTGTTGGGCTGTTAACCACAAGGTCAGCTGTTTGAAACCACCAGCCGCTCCTCAGGAGAAAGATGAGGCTTTCCACTTCTGTAAGGAGTTACCATCTGGGAAACCCATGGGGCAGTTCTACCCAGTCCTACAGGGCTGCTAAGGGTCAGAATAGAGTCAAGGCAGTGAGTTTGGATTTTCAGTGTTGGTCACCCACGTGACACAGTAACACTACCCACCGAGTTTCCTTGGCTGTAATCTCTATGGAAGCTGACTGCCAGGTCTCATCACTCACTCACTGTCATCCAGTCGATCCCGACTCTCAGTGGCCCTGTAGGACAGGGTAGCCCTACCCCATAAGTTTCTGAGAGTGGAGCGTTTTAAAGGAGTAGAAAGCCCTATCTTCTCCCGAGGAGTGGCTGGTGGTTTCCAACTGCTGACCTGGCAGGCTGTAGCCCACCGTGCAGCCACTGTGCCGCCAGCGTGCTTCTGAGACTGGGCATCATTTGCGGAGCAGCCAGCCTCATTCCCTCTCCCACAAAGCAGCTAGTGGGTTTGAACCAGAGGCCCTGTGTTTAGCAGCCCATTGCCTAACCCACAATGCCGACCGACAGGGCTCCTTCAAAGGGAGGGCGGTCCTTTGGATTTCATTCACCGTTATAGAAGTTTCTCCGAAAGGAAACCTGGGACTTGAAGATCCAATGTCAAAAAACCGCAGCCCAACAGAGTGGTTTCCTCCTCCTCTTGCTCTTCACTCTGGGCCTGTTGGTATTTCACTAATTGGCGACATCTAAAAATTATGTGCCTCGTCTCTGGATGAAATGATACATAAATGATAATGGTGTCTAGATTGTCAAAGGCCATCTAGTAATAGCTGTGTGTTTTTTTAAGGTTTGTATTTATCATGGGGACTTCCATTTTTCTGTCAATGACTTCCATACTGCAGCGGGGGTGCTCCAAATTCAGACTGCTGGGGAAAATTGCCTGGAGGAGTCTCCTCCTAATCTGCATGGGAATCGTCATTGTGAATCCCAATTACTGCCTTGGTCCATGTAAGTATTCCCTCCCCTGCCTCCCTCTTCATTACCTATTCCGGTTGAAATACAGAAACTACATGCTGCCACTCTCCATCCCAGGCACCTGTGAAGAGAACAGTCCCGGGGAGTTTATTCAAGGCGTGTACCCCTAAGGCACTCGGATCCTCTTCCTGGGATTTTTAGAGCTGGGAGCCTCTGCAAGCACTTGGGCCCCTCTGTGACCCGAGGGGCCTCCATGGCAGGCGCTGTTGAAAGGCTTCGTGGCGTGAGGAGCCTTGGTGCCACTTCAGCCCATCAGCTCTCCAATTAGAGTGGTTGACAAATCTGGCTGTCACACCTGTCTGTCAGCAGAGACAGGAAAGCTGGGGGAAGGCTAGGGACCAGTGTCAGACTTGGGGAAGGTGGACTGACTGTCCTC